TAATAAGGTAAGTAAGTCAACGTTGCCAGTTAGTGAGCTTCGCGGACCAGTTTGGGTGGCTTGAAAGGTTTGAGTCAATACTTATTGCTAAATATGGTATTTTGGTGCATTTAGAAGCTCACTTCACAATGCTTCTTGAAACGTCTCCTAGTAATTAGTGATATGGGAAAAGTATGAGAATAAAATTCCTAAACAAATTTGCTGACTGGAAAGTGGCAAATTTCTTTTTCCCTAAAAGACCAACCGTTTTGTGAAGTTTAACGTAATTCAAAGGATTCTAACAACGTCATAAACAAACAGTTCTCTGAACATTCAAATTTTCACAGGAAAATATCTATTACACCTCCTTCGTCCTCCACTTCCTTACCAGGAGTACTACATTGAAAGTATAACGCGTAAGGACTTTAGGTTGGTCAACTCTTTTGGGATACGTAACCCATTCGACGTCTGTTCAGTATCATAAAAAGGCATTCGAACCAGCGTCCGACCTGTATATGGCTTATTCAAACACAAGTCGATAACCGATTGAGCAAATTTACCCATCCATGCAGGTTTGGTACCAGTTAGTGAACTTCGTGGACCAGCTCGGATGGCTTGGAAGGTTTAAATGGCTGAAAGAGTGGGTAGTTATGGTGCCTTTTTCCTAACAAGGCTCGACCACCAGAGCGGAGCATCTTGAGAAAGAAGGCTTTTCAAAAAATACAATGGTCACACTAACGATTGAATGCAGCGTAGAGATCTAGTAGCATTGGCCTGAATTTCGCATTCAAACATAGTTGGATTTGCTCAATCGAATCATTGGTCGTCGATTGTTCGAGCAGGAACCAGCAATGTCTCCATTGGTCCTCGTCGCGAGCTAGTGTCCACCGGATATTTTTACTGCTCACATCTAGAGCAACAGGAGAGCTTTTGAGGAACAAATAACAAGCATAGAGGTGATTATTCCCGTAAGTGGATCACTTGCTTAGATGCGCCATTCATTCCGCTTCTCACCTATTTCTACCTCAACAAGTAGTATTGTCGTGTACAGTAACATTTTTGCTAGCTACATTGGCTAATCTGGGACCAATAAACTGACCCTGTAACGATGGAAAACTTGGTTGTTTTGGGATTGGGCGAAAGTCAATGAGGGACTTGAATCACTGATAAGCAAAATCTCCATCCACTACTCTATCAAAGCCACCGATGGAAGGATGCAGAAAACACTAGTGGGAACATATCGCATCTTACACCACGTGGGTCCCACTCATTCCTCAATTCTTCTAAAGCAACTAAAAATTCAGATCTGCTGACCGTCGTGACTTGTAGTCTACAGTATAACTCCTCAGGGTGCGTGGATCGAGCGGCGACCCAGGACTTTGATGAAGTAGACCATCGTGCTGGTCCAGCTTACTTTACCCGAAATGGTTCACTCTCTTTTGTTCATTAGATTCAAACATTCAAACTGAAAGCCTGGGCAAATATTGAAATTGATGGAGACGGCTCAAAATTAAGGTTGGTCCATAACATTACCCCACCACCTTCTACAGATCCCCTTTCATTTTAGCCGAATGTCTCTCCGACAAGAGTATGTTCGCATGGGTAAACCATCTAGTCCCAAAGATGAATTGTTGCTCTCAGGTTAATTATCACAGCATTTGCTGCGTCCTATCACATGTTGTTCAGAATTAGGCTGGTGTCAGACGATCCGTCGCAGGTTTCGCGCGATTCGCGCGGATCGCAAAAATTGCAAGTGCCCCATTTGAACATTTGAAACACTGAATATGAAACAAGTGGAATCATGAACAGTCGTCATTCAGCCATCACCATCAAGCAGAAGTGGCGGCGGGATTGGAGAACACCTTGCAGTATTGATCGGGCACTTGTGATTTCCGTGACCCGTCGCGCGAATCGCGCGAATCGCGCGAAAACCTGCGACGGATCGCGGACTCTGACACCAGCCTTAAGATTCCTCGAGACGGCTTCAGCAATGTCTTGATTTGTACCGCTCCAGTGAACCTTACTCGCTCGAAAGGCACGATGCTCATCATTATTCCGTTCGAATTCGTGAAAACTCTCACTATTTGACGTTCCGAAGAATTCTTTCCGTCACCACTCAGGGGCGCAAAGATCATCACAGAATCGTATGTCGGCGTGTCTAGCCCACCTGGTCTTTGATTCCTTAGCGAAAACGGCAGCGTCCCTGATCTTCGAGCATTGGATGATACTGTCCACATGCTCGTACAATAAAAGAAAAGATCACGGAAAGTCATTCATAAACACGGTTGTTACCGTGTTTACGAGTAACTTCCCGTGATCTTTCCTTTTACTGTATTGTAACCGTCGTCATCTTGTAGCTATCTGACGTTACTACCGCTGTGCAGTTGTTGAATAATCAATTAACCTCCGTTTCAAAAAACAGAAAGTGTCGGGTGCAGACCATACACCACAAGTGACGACGGCCTCCAAGTAAATCTGGTTAGTAGTGGTTCATAGTGATAGCTGATTTTGGTAAATGATAGTTGTAATTAGTGACAACTGATAGAATACAACTGCAACAGGCTAATCATTTCATTGGCAGAAAACATTTACATTTTGTGGAGGCCGTCGTCACTTGTGGTGTATGGTCTGCACCCGACGCTCTTCTCGTTTTTGAAGGGAGTGTACGTTGATCGGTTCAATCAGATGATCGCTGTTTGTGCAAGCATTTCAATGAAGTGAAGATATGGATGCTTTTGATCAAAAATCAAACCATGTCATAAAAGTAACAACAGAGCTCTTATCGGGAAATGTTCAAAATTCAAAGAGCTCACCTGGCTGTGAACTGTAGGAGTCGAGCACCCAGGATCAGAGTTCATCGGTAATTTTTAACCTTTTTTTTAGCGACGAAGTATTGCGTAGACTGAAATAAATGATAACGAAATGTTGGAGTATCGTGCTACGCCAACTTCCCGTTCTAGTTCGTCTTTTTACTGCTAGACTATTCTAGCCATAAGTGGCCGACGCTTTAGGAAGAGGATGAACGCGGCAGCTCCGTGGAAAAGCTCACCGGCGGCGCGTACGCGTTCGCGTGCTGGTGACGTCACAGCGGCGGCGAGAGAGGGGGTAACAAGGGCCAGCTCTCCTACCTTTGAAAAAACATGAAGCATTTGCCGTTGATCAATCCCTTTTTGGGATGCGGCACGCATTCTACTTCCATTTGTATTAGGTTGTCTCATAAATAGTGTCGCTTTTTTTCAACCAAAAAATTTTCATCTAAATCCATGCTTTTACATCGTGTCATATACCATTCGAAAGAGAATTGTCTGCTCTACAAGATGCTATGTTCCTCTTCCACCTCTGTTCCAGGGTTTTCAAATTTTAGGCCTGCGAAATGGGAGGTCCAGCCGACAAAAATTGACCAAACCGACAACTAGCTCTAACTTTATTTTCCCTGGGGAGAAATCAATCAATGATGTACCCTCTACTTAC